CCATCTGAGCATTTTAGCATTATTATATTATTGTATTAGCACACTGACTGTGGGACAGCATTCTAAACGTGTCAGGCTATTAACAGCGCGCAGAAGATCTGAAGTTCAGAGTGTGTATGTCAGAGGTCAGACGCGATCCAGCGGAACCACGGCTCACGGGTGCACATGAGCACATCTGGGCTGGGCAGAAGTAATTTTACAACATTGGTTTAAATAGCGCCAATAACAAGACTTGGTGACTGGAGCGGCTCATGGAGCTGTGCTGCACGCACACTCACACACACACACACACACAGATTCAATAAGCACACGCGCCGCGCCGTCAGGCTGAAGGCAGAAATGAGCGCTGCCTCCTCCGTGATAAAAAAAACTTTTAAGAGGTTTTATAACGAAAATTTTCATTCCAGGTCAAATTAAGATATTAGCTTCTATTTTGGGATGACGTATGAAATTGGAGTCCGCTCCAGCCAGTGACTCCTCATGAACCTGACTACAACTCATGTTACTGCAGTATTTGTTATTCCAGTCCGCGTGGCAGCGGGTTGCAGATTCAGCCACACCATAAAACAACAATAAGTCGGTCTGAGGCAAAAGTGAACCTCATGGCTATAGCTTTTCCATCTTTTCCCCTATAGACATTTGATTATGCACAAGTAGGTGATCAGCTCAGGTTTACGCAGAGCAGAAGGAAGGAGAGAGCTCTGGCCACTGCAGGTTAAGCATTCCTACTTTAAGAAAACCGTTAAATTGCATTGTTGATGTGCTACCAGGGCACTCTAAATATTTATTGAAAATTAAATCAAAGGAAATTGTAATGGTATCGAATGTTTATTAATTACTATTTAAAAAATGAAAGTGATGGGGAAAAAGGTCGATCATATTTTTTTAACCCTGTCTGTCGAGTGACTGGTTAGCTTGACGTCTGATATACATACATACACACACACACACACACACACACACACACACACACACACACACACACACACACACACACACACACATATATATATATATATATATATATATATATATATATATATATATATATATACATATATATATATAGAGCCATGCCCTGATGTGGGGGCTGGGGGGTGCGTCGACATGGTCGGGATATAGAAGGGGGTGCGCAGCCAAATAAGTTTGGGAACCGCTGATGTAGAACATCTGTACGCTGAAGCACTTCAGGAATAATCTAGAACATCTGCATGCTTGTTATGGAAAAATTTATGTTTATTAATTCTTGATCATGGACTCAATCAGCTGAATGTAATATGTATTGCTCTATGCCTCTCTGCATGACACACCCACACAAGACACACATACACACACACATTCTCTCTCTCTCTCTTATAAATAAACTCTGTGACTGGATGTTCAGGGCATTTTGCCTTGTGCATTATGCCACAGTTATAACTGTTTGCCTTGTCTGCTCATTGTCTCCTTCTCTCTTCACTACAGGAAATGGGTTATTGATAAACATATTGATAAAATCCATGACATAATTTGGTCCTTCGAACGCCGGGGTCCCATCACCTCGTGGCGCCAAGGGCTGACGCCGAAAACTGTCGACAACCTACATCTCCTCTGGCGCTGTGCTTTTGCTGGGGGTTGGTGTGAGGATCTTGACATCGCTGGGAGGGGATGCGGATCCACGGACTACTCAAGACCTGAGTGGAGAGATTTGGTGAGACAAGTTTGGTTGTTGTTTGTTTGTCTTTGTGGTACCGAGAGAAAATCCTAGGTGACCAAAGAATAAAGTGGTGTCGTCCGCCGTGAATAGGATGGTATTGACGGGTTCTTTTGAATGCTGTCTGTATTGGCTTGGTTTTCTGCATTTTAGCCAAAATTAGAAATGCAACTCTGGTGTAAGAAATGAAGTAGACCGGTGTGGTAACTATGAGATTAAGTGGTGACGTCCACCTTGAATAGGATGGTTTTTGACAGATTCTCTGAAGGCTGTCTGTGTTTGGCTTGGTTTTAAGCATTTTGCTGGAGAATTAGAAACGTGCTCTAGTAATCTGTGTTGTTTGTTTGTCTTAGATGTTGTCTGCTTCAATTGTTGTTCGAATGGATGAGAGTTTCTGGACTAGCTTATTCTTGCAGAAAGAAGGACATTGCAACTCATTTGCACTCGTCTCAAGTTGGTGGTCAGACTTTTAAACAGGCTGGCTGATAAGTGGGTCCTTGCTGTGTTAGACACACAGTTGGAGGGAGGATTCGTAAGCCTGAATCTGACCTCATGCCAAAGAAGTGACGTTGTGGTATCTATATGGGGAAAAAAGAACTCACAAAATACCTTTTGAGTTAATATTGTACACTGATGGAAATGTCAATCCAGGAAATGTGGAAATGAGTTGATCTGACATCTTAAAATAAGACAAGGGAGTTCTCAGCAAATGACAATCGAGTCCAGGCAACAGCAGATTTGGTGTGCAGCCCAGATGAAGACAAAAACTGCATTTTTAGCACTCTAAAAATATCGGTTGTCATGAACTGAATCTCCTGGTGTCTGTCAAATGTAGAAACTTGTTCAGATCTCTGATTAGCGGACATTGTGATCAGAACAAGGGGAGAAACGGTCTGGAAGTAAGATTGAAATGAGAGAGCAGATTGAAGTGTTTGTAGGGAATTTGCATTTAATAAGTTTTAATTCTTTTAATTCTTCATGTGTTCTCAGCTTGGGAACTTTATGATAGTATACTATCATTAAATCAATATCATTAGAGATTACCCAATATCTTCAGAAACACTATCTATTGTAGATAGATGGATTTTTAAGTTACCATGGGTTATTTTCTTTTACATTACGTTGTTACCGTATGACATTAGACATCTTAAAGGCCAAGACTATTACTCAACCATGGATCAAGTCCATTTATAACCTTGAAACTTTCCTAACAAATGAATCTTCTAAACAAATCTTCCTGTTTATGACTGAAGTTACCTAAACCTTGATTTAGTGTTCAGACTTCAGTAGCATTGATTTAGGATCAGTTACTTCTATATGAGGATGCTAAATTAACTGCATATTTGCAGAATCTAGTTCTCTACTGGTTATTAAGAGTATGGAGGTTATGTAAATACCTCTACCTTGTGTTAGCCAATCTATCTCGTTTCTAAATTAACTGTTTATGTAATTAATATTGAACTCCTCCTGAGTAGGTTAGTGAATATTTTCTGTTATTTTTGCTAAATCTTTATTTTGCCCCTTCTTTGGACCTAATCAGCTCCCACTTTCTTATCACCTTCTTAATTCAACAAGGAAAGAGCAGCAGCTCATTAGACAGCCCTCACCCTTGACTTCATTGTTTTTATTTTTTGGTGGACAAGCACTATAAGCTGACATGACCCTTAGATTTAATCAGTAGCATGGTGACCTAACAACTGTTCTTTGATGGTCACATTAATTTGAGAATGACCTGATTGCACATGCATCTAGTAGTTCTTAAGTTTGCCGGTCTTTTATTTTGTTTATTTCTCGTTGGTTTGTGAGTATAAATGCTTTAGTTGTTCATAATCACACTTAGTTATACTCCTCTGCTTGACCCTTAAGCTACTTAGGGTTCCTCCTCATGCATTTCCTTGTTTCCTGTCATTTAACCATTTTATACAAAGTACACTTTTGTGAATTATGAATTATTTTTTTTGTTTAGAACGTCTTTTCCCTTCCTGAAACGATTATCATCTTTTCAATCTAAGAACACCATCAGTTGTTTAATTTTTGATCGGCCACTGTCTCTTTGACAAATTAGTTTTATTTTCCTTAGATAATTCTGTTGTCCAATTTCACTTACGGAGCTTTAATTTAGTAGTATTTATCTCCTGTTGACAAATTATACACATTATTTGAGTAGCATTATTGAGTGACATTGTACATTGTTGATTTACTCTGAAGCGACCTTACCCTACTGAATCTATGGGGGGGGGCAACGCGCTGTGCCAGAGCTTCGGTACTGACACGCGATCATGTTCATGTCGGTTCATTTCCTTTAATGTTTTCTGTCTTTTATTTGCGCCTGATGTGTTTCGCTGTGGAGCGGGGCGCATCACCTTGTCATCCGGTTACGCACTGATCACTGATGCGGCCACCAAGCAGCGGCACTCCGCTGTTTTTGCGGTCGGTAGATCTTTTAGAACTGCAGCTCAAAGGTAACTCATAAGGTAAATATATATGAACCCAGGTAGCAGTTTCTCTTTAGGATTGAGAGGAGATGCAGGAAGATAATAAACTGAAAGGACAGAAAAATAGTCAAATAAAAACAAGTTAGTTTTTGTACCTGCTGGTTGCAACAAACAGACACAATTGAAGGTAATCAGAAGTGAGGAACAGAAAATGAAATAATTATTTTAATGTTTAGAGCAGCAGGAACTTCGAGAGGCTGCAGGCGCATCAGTGAGTTTGCGGCCGCTGCGCAGGGGGAGGGGGGAGAGGGCTGAAGCAGAAACTACCGTCGTTAAAAGAAATGTGTTAACTTTGAAAATGTGGGCGCAATTTTAATTGTCAAAAACTCCAGCGAACCATTAGTTCATTTTGCTCAAATAGAAATTGAGGCCTGCCTCTAATACTGGCCCTCCTTCCAAATAAAGGCCTGGAGCTTGATGAGCTTGAGTCAAATACAGGCCCGGGCCTGTATTAGAAGATCTACGGTAATACATTTATTTAGTCTGGCTTGCCAGGCTAGTACGCTGCAGCACTTCAGGAATCATCAAGAACACTTAAGTCTTTGAAATAATCCCTTTACGTTAGAATGGTATTTAAACTAACAGCTGTTTTTCTGGAAGGGAGCTGGAAAGAAAAGAGTTGTGGTTTCCATGGCAACAGTGACCACATCTAAGTTCATTTGCCTCTCCTTCCTGACTGTTTAAACAAAAAGCATGAAGTTGTTCACACATCAGGTGCAAATATTAGAACACGTAATGACAACTCCGAAATCTAAAGTTGTTACGTAGAGTTTTAAAACGGTCTGAAAATGAAAAGGTCCCAGCCAAACCAGTTCCACGCAGGTCATCTTTAATGACAACATGTTTATCAGAGTCTCCAATGTAGCAGGAAAAAAAATTAAAAGCAAAACTGTCGATCCACACTTCCAATTTTCATTCATCAGACCTTGCAATCAACAAAGGTTTGGGGCTTTCTCGCACTGTTTCCAACATAACTTGTGTCAAACTTGATTCCGGCTAAGTGTGCTCACGATCTTTTTCCAAAAGCAGGAAAAAGCAAATGATTCAAAACAAACACGGGAAAGGACAATCCAAAACATTGGTTTCAAATGCAGAATGGACCAATACAAGCAGAATCTCCAGGGGTAGGAGTCTGCGTTGGCTGCAGGAGAAGTTTTTAATCCAATACAATCTGAACAAGCTGCTGATAAGGAAGAAGATATCCAAAGTTTTTGTTGCTGCCTTCTTGGTTTGCTGAATTTGACATGGAGAAAATTCTTGGTTTTTGCTAAACAAGTTTTTTTTAGTGCTTAAAAAAAAGAAAAAAAATCTTCTAAAATGGTTTATTGCCTGAAAAGCTGTCCTCACAGCAGAGCAAAGGCAGGAGAGCAGAAGTGAAAATGATGCTTTACTGTTGAACGACTGTGTAGAACGGAGGCTACAACTGCAGCTAGCACTCAGGAACAAACAGGCTGCAGCTTACATGTCCCTAAAGATCTGTGGGAGTCAGTTCACAGAACCAGAGGCTGAGACAAATATCAACCTTGTGACTCAAAAACTGTCCACAATCCAGCTTCAGACACCAAAGCTAAAGTCTGATACTCCAAACAAGAAGCTGCTGCTGCTCAGACACTTCTATAGCTTCATGGAGGAGGTCCGGGAGTTTACCAGACACAAACACGCTGGAGTGTAGGACTGACTAGCTAGGAGTCTGTTTTCCTGAACGAGTCTTTAAACACTTGTGACTTTCTGGGCCGTGACTTTTACGTTGTGTAGAAAAATGTGCAAAATTTTAGTTGAAATCACACAGAACTGGTAAACGCCTGAAACTGCAACTTTCCTATCACCATTTTGTCTAAATGATCTAAATTTGTTGGCGATTTCTCCTTCCTGAACTCAACCAGACGCTCTCCGTTTCTGATCCAGTCCCTCCCAAAGCCGTCTCACGTTCCTCAAACTCTCTAAAACTGGATGAATATCTCTGAACCCCTCTAACGGCTCTATTTATAAATAAAACTCTTAAGCCCTGTAACATGACAGAGAGGCTGTGTGATTCGTACGAGGAAACTCAGATTTGCAAACACAGTAAAAACTCGCCAACAGCTGCAGCTCAGTGAAATTCTGGTTTACTGACAGGTCAGGTCTTTAAAAGTTGAGTTTTGGTGAAAATATTAATACAAATTCATCAATGATGCTGTTACTTCGAATACTCTCAGGTTGGAGAAACAGAGATTAGTCCTGATTGAACATGTCTGAAAACTGCTTTAATCTTAAATATTTTGTACCAGATCATAAATGCTCCATTTTAAAACATCTCCAACCATAAATGTCACATTTTATGGTTTGTGGCCAGAAGCTCACAGGAGCTTAAGTCTGCTGCAAATAATTACAGAATCATAAGTAAATGTTGTCATATGACACTTAAGGTGGAGTATGAAGTAATGTCAGCATGAACTGCTACCAAGTCATTTTCAAGACAGCACACCAGTTTGAACTGGGCCCTACTGAGACTAGCCATTAGCTTGTTCACCTGATCAGAATTCATCTCCATTTCTCCAAACTCAGGTTGTTTATTTGTGATCTATAGCAGACATGTTGTTTTTAAACTTCACCTCTTCAAAGGATCTTCTTGTAGAAAAGTACATTAGTCTCACTTCTTCATAAAATATATTCTCCTTTCTGTTTGGATGAAAATTGTCGAAGATGCTGCTAACAGAACTCACAATGCTGAGCTGTAAAGCAGTGTGCTGTGGTTGGTGTAGAGGTGGACTTGTGGACAGAGACAGGACACAGAGTCTGTGTGTGGACGGCTGCTGTCCCTCAGCACGTCTCACTGGGATGAACTCCAGTTTGGGTTGGCTGCTGCGAAAACTGCTTTTAATAATAAAACTTCTTAATAAACAACCACTGCTGTCAAATAAATATAATAAACATCACTTAAAGAAAATGAAACAAAATGGCCACTTTCAAAAATAACTCAAAGGCATGGTGACGTTTTCAGTCTGCGTAGTCGACTGAATTTGGTCGAAGTGCTGGGGTACTCGTGCAGGTGGCACAATCTGTGGTCAGTACTAAAACAGTCCTCGGTTGTCACGTGATCAAAGAGCACTGAACATGTAGTTACCCCACCCCCCCAACCCTGTGATCAACCCAACTAAAGGGGAACGAGGAGAAGAGCTCAGGCAAATGTGTGGAGGAGATAAGGCTGGTGAGATACCTACATAGGAGAAAAACAGCTGAAAGAAAACGGGGGAGGGTGGGGTGTTCTCCTGAGAACATATATCTCAGATGGGAGGTGAGGGTGGCAGGCAGGATAGAGGGATGGGAGACGGGCATTCTTCTCACGACAGCTTCTTCTCAGGCACTTTTCTTCAGTTTCAGGTTCAGAAGGAGCTGGCGGGGGGCGTGGTCAACCTCTTCCCTATGTAGACGCTGGGAGGAAGCAAAGAGAGAAGATTCAGATCTCTGGATGCTGAAATATTTAAATTTTTAAAAAATAAAAATAAATAAAAAGACACCTTGTGCCATCAGAAGGGGTGACGACTACTACACCAAGTACTTGTAAAGTTCAGAGTTATTTCTGCTTGTTAATGCTGATTTACCATACCATATTTATTTATAGAGCCCATTTAAAACAGCGTGCTTGAACACAGAAAGAGGGCAAATGTAAGAGACAAAAGAGCAGTAATCCTATGATGAAATGAGCCCTCACAATCAAAGAATATACAGCAGGCTGGTAAAACATAAAATCAAGAAAGCAACCCAAATTGCAAACACAAACATTTGGTTGCAATAACAAGATAAAAACAACAGAATAAAAGCAAAAGAGTGATAAAACAGTAAAAGAAAATAAATACAATTTGAGAACAAAGCCTGCTAATTAAAATTTTCCAGACCAAAAGCCATTCTGAAGAGGTGTGACTTAAAGGGGCATTAAGGAAGTTTGACAGCCAAAGCATGTATAGAAATAATACATTTCTTCTTCATACATTCTCCTGCAATGCCCTGATCCTGTAGAATGAGCCCTGGCATTTTTACTGTGATTGCCTGTTTTTTTGTAAAAATCACAGAAAAAGAGAGATGCTCGGGTCGAGCAGGCTGCTTCATGCGCGTTCACGCTCAGGCATAGCCCGTAGCATTCGCTATCAGTAGCTTTAGCAGCAGAGAGAGAGGTAGTGCCAACTCAGCCACTTTGTCGCTGTTCCTAACGCCTAGTGATGAACCTACGGGCCATTCCCATCTGTACCGGGTCGGCCCGGGCCGGGTAGCGTAGGTTGTTTACATATCTGGGTGGCCTGGCATTTTTCCGGGCCAACCAAGGCTCATTCTCAGCCCTCTTCTCGAGGGGGTCTGCTTCAGGCCGACCAGGGCCAACACACCCACTGCTGACAGCAAATTCACACCTTCCATTAGAGCAAGCCTCTGATTGGTGGGTAGAATCAGCCCACATGGGCTTAAGACAAGGATGTGTGGAATCAACCGGGCCAGGCTGGGGCCGACTGGGGCTACCCGGCCCGGGCCGACCCGGTACAGATGGGAATGGCCCTCTAGATAGCCATTTTCGCTCCGAACCGTTCTTTGAACGTTGTTTCAGCTGTCATTAAGGATATAAAAGCTACAGATAGGGAAGATGTCACCAGCGGTTTAGCTTATCTAGTTAGACATTGGACTCTCGTGTAGAAAACCCGGATTCAATTCTGGGTGTGAACATAATTTATTTAGTATTTATGTTTTACATTAATGGTATATTTTGTTACAGTAAGATGCCCAAATTTTTATTTGACACTCGCCGAACGGCACTGAATTCACAGATAAAAAAGATGTGGGTTCAACTTTCATTTTGGAACAATTTTTCAAGCAAGGGGAGGGAAGCTCTGTGAACACACACACACACACACACACACACACACACGGGACTGTCTCAGCTGTTATTTTCGTTAAGGAGTGTGCACGTACAGCATGCGTGCCTCGTGTACGAGCCTAGTATTGAAGCTGCCGTTACGCTTTTGGCCTGAGGGGGCAATCACGAGCATAAAAATTCAAAACTCCGTAAAGTCCCTTAAAATGTGTAAGTGATGGAGCCAGACGTATTGAGAGTGGAAGTGCATTCCAAAGCTTAGGAGCAGCAAAGGCAAAAGCCCGCTCTCCAAGGGATTTGTATTTCATTTTGAGAATGCGCATAAGGTGACCTGCGGAACGCAGTGAACGGGCTGAGGCGTATTGTGTGAGTAGTTCAGACAGGTAGAGGCGAGCAGTGTTATTGACAGTTTTATATGAAAGCATAAGAACCTTCAATTCTATAGGATATGCTACAGGGAGCCAGTGTTAATCAGCCAGAACAGGAGTGATGTGGCACTTTCTTATTTGCTTCAGTGAGAAATCTGGCCGCTGCATTTTGTACCCTCTGCAGACAGTTGAGGAAAGTTGTCCTGACACCTATGAGAGCAGTCGGCAAAGTCAAGTTGCGAGGTAATAAATGCATAATAAATATACTGAATAGTCATGAGAAATCTGAGGCTTTATTCAGTAGGGCTGTAGCGAAGCCTCGACGAAGTCGACGGCTCGATTCAAAAATTTGTCGACGTCAGATCCGGAAGTCGACGCACCGCGCCCACTTGTTGCATCCCCAGGAGTTTGTAAATAGAGGAGGAATCTGCCTGTTTTTCCTCTAGTTCGCCCTCTTCTCCGCCTTCACTAACATCTCCGCCAAATACCGAAGACCCGGAACAACGTCCGTCCACTACTAGATTATTTTCCTGTTTTGCCCCTTCGTCTCCCGGCAACGGACAACAACTTCCGGGGTCAGATGTGCGCTGCTCCGTCTCTGTCGCAGATGTAGAAAATCACCGGGAGCGCTTCTCCCTTCATTAAGGAGCTTCTTTCAGACATGAGGAGAGCTGTTTTGGTGGTAGCAGTCTCTCCTCCGTGCTGGTCTGTTTGCTGCTGGGTGTTTTTGGTTTATTTAAACTTGGTAACTTGAACTTAACGTTGGTAAAGCTACTGTTAGCATCTTCGCTAACAGCTTCTTGCGTTGGGATAAGCTGTTACGTTTTGGTTTAGAGTTCATCTTTTTTGTGGTGTAGATCTCCCTTTTATTACATTTAGAGTGTTGTGGGTTTTCGGTTTAGTTAAAAATGTAAGACCACTCGCCTCACGCACATAAGTGACCAAAACAAAGCAGCATGGAGACACTCCATCTTCTACCAGCTCTCAGGCAGCAGCCTGCACTCCCAGGTTCTACACGTCACCAGAAAACCAACACAATAAACGCAGTGTTATACAAAATGGAAGGCCTGTAGTGTTTATTCTCTTACAGTAAGAATTTATCAATTTTTTTGAGGAATTTATTTGAGATTTTCTGGTTTTTGTTAATTGTGCAATAGAAAAATAATCATTAGATTAATTTTCTAAATAGTCATTAGAATAGTCGACTATTCGATAAAATAATCGTCAGAATAATCGTTTTAAAAATAATCGTTTACCCCCAGCCCTATTATTCAGACTTCAGGTAAACTGGTTATTTGACTGAGCAGCACAACCCAGACCATTTCACATGTGGTCTGAGATCAGACATATCTCTGGTGTTTAACCTCCATCGAAGTAACTTCACGTTAGATGACTGGAGCCACAAACATCCTAATTCTGATATGGTGGGGGTAGGGGGGTAAGATCGAATCTTGTTGGCTCTGATTACACAACAACACACTTTCATATGTGTAAAATCCATGTGTGCTGCGTGTGAAGGTCACTTCTGGGTCAAATATGGTTCACACGGGAGCCTGATGGAGGTCACATGATCTAAATTATAACGTGAACAATCAGGTAAAGGAATCAGATCAGCAAAAACTCTGAACTGAGCTTAAAGACCTGCATGGTGTAGTTGCACATCCAGAGATTATTTTCTGTGAGTTTCATTCAATTCCATCATGTGGTTCAAGAGATATTTTGTTATTTTTGCTAACAGGGAGTAGACACAGACACAGGCAAAAACATCATCCCCCTCCTCTCATTTTACAGCTGCTGGTAATCAGCAGAGCAGAATAAAAAGATGCCTTTACACAAGGCTGAGTGTCTTATCACAGCTAAATAAAGTCGGCTTGTCCAGCAGGAGGCGAGCTGATGACTCCCGTGATGCTGAACGTGACTCTGATGGAGGAGCATTGATTACTGGGCCGGCTGAGATGGCAGGTGTGCAGCAGCTGCTCTGCTGACAGGAACCACTAGCTGACTGTCTCTCAGGCTGTGCTTTAACTCCCCCTGCTGGTGGCTTGGTGAAACTAACGAGTCGACTGCTAATTATTTAAATCAATGCTTAAATGCTCGAAGTACAGGGTGAGGAGGAGCAGATTTTTCATTCAGATCTATTAATCGATCCCTTACCAATTAGTAATAGTAATAGTTACAGTTCTTTTGAACATCTTATTCTTGGTTTTCCTAATTCAGATTTCAAAACTGTAAAACCACTCGTTTGTAGTTTTGCATCGTCCACCATTTTCCTCCGTAGAGTGGCCGGGCTCAGCCTTAGAGATAGGGTGAGGAGCTCGGACATACGGGAGGGACTCGGAGTAGAACCGCTGCTCCTCCGGATCGAAAGGAGTCAGTTGAGGTGGTTTGGGCATCTGGTCAGGAAGCCTCCTGGATGCCTCCCTGGGGAGGTGTTTCGGGCATGTCCTGCTGGCAGGAGGCCCCCGGGTCGACCCAGGACACGTTGGAGAGGTTACATCTCTAATCTGGTCTGGGAACGCCTTGGGGTCCTGCCGGAGGAGCTGGTGGAGGTGGCCGGGGAGAGGACGGTCTGGAGCTCCCTAGTTGGGCTGCTGCCCCCGCGACCCAGACCCGGATAAGCGGAGGAAGACGAGGACGAGGACCACCAGGCCCTTACTCTGAGTTTTTGGATCAGATCTCTGGTTTTTTATGTGATTTGGTGCTGAATACCGATAAGGTCATTGTAGTGGGGGATTTTAACATTCATGTGGACATTGAAAATGATTGCCTCAATGTAGCCTTTTGTAATATATTAGATTGAATTGGTTTTAGCCAAAGAATACATAGCTCCATCCACTCCTCCCATCATGCATTAGACTTTGTGCTGACTTATGGCATAGAGTCTGAGGAAATAACGATATTTCCACATAATCCAGTCCTCTCTGACAACTTTTTGATAACCTTTGAGTTTTTATAACTGAGTTCTCGAGACATGAAAGTAAATTTCACTATAGTCGGTCTCTGTCTGTTGCATCTTTTGAATCAACTGTTCCATCTTTACTATCTTCAGCCTCTCAGAGGAACGTAGCAGAGGGCAATATTTTCATTTCTAGCCCTTCACAAATTGATGGTCTAGTTCGGAAAAATAGTCTTGTGCTTTATAAAAATACCGGTTTTATATCTGGAAAGGTCACATGAGGCATAGGACATAATTACAAATGACAACGTGTCTTCATGAAAACAGACAGTATCTTATTATTTTTTACAATCTGGACACCAATCCCTCCCAAAGTTGTCTCACATTATCTGATAGATGAAAACTTAAAGGAGGTGGATTAAAAGCAGGTTCCAGACGTCCACGTCAACTCTGGGACTCTTCAGTGAAGATTTGACTTACAAATATTTAGAACATATGTTAAAAGTCCCCCGTTTGCGGTGCATTGATCACACTACATTTCCCATGATGCACCTCAGCATATTTCCTGAGTGTGCCCCGCTGTTTTGCTGACTGAGCAGGTGAAAAAAGTTGAGGTGTTTGTCGGTGTTTCCTGGGTGTATACCTCCTGTGTGCATACTTGTGTGAGTATGGAAGCTGAGCTGAATGTATGTGCACGTATAAACATGGATAGATGTCCTCTATTGTTGTTTATTGTCGTTTGTGGACTGTTTAGTCTGTATAGTACAGATTTACAGAACCCAACGCCATAATGGGGCCTACAGTGTATTGGGGGTGTGTTTGCTTTGCTATTTATCCTAGTCGCTGGACTGGATCTATTAGTGGTGCGTCTCCAATCTTTGAACTGTTGGCCAGTTTATGTTTATGTTAATGTTTATTCATTTAGGAGACGCTTTTATCCAAAGCGACTTACAATTTATAACCTGTAGGGCATGTTGTGATCTGTGGGGGAAACCGGAGTACCCGGAGGAAACCCACGCATGCAAGGGGAGAACACGCAACTCCACGCAGAAAGGCCGCAGCCGAGTTTCGAACCTGCAACCTTCGTGCTGCGAGGCAACAGTGCTAACCACTGCGCCACCATGCAGCCCAGTTGAGCCTGTTAAAGTTAGCTGATATTTATCAGTCTCTGTCGCTTGATAGTGCCATCTGGTGGACGTATTATGGTTGTGTAGATTATGGTATTAGAGTTGCAAAATCATTGTATAGAGTTGTAGATTGACCATCATGTATTGCTGTCTGTTGATCTCTCTCCCCTTTATTTGTATTTTCTAGATAACCACATCACATCCCATGTATAGAGCTCCGGACCCCACGTGACTCTCAGTTAGTGGACGCCATTTTGGCATGCAAAAAAGGTAAACAAACACGGATGTAACCATGAACATGAACGGGATCCGCTTGGATTTTACTTCGTCGGAGTTTACTTCACACTTTAAAACAGAAGAAATCGTTTTATATAGTCAGAAATTAAATAGACTAAACATCTCCGACCCTTACCGTGCCCCTGGGATACTTTTTAAAAATGCCAGAAGCTGTCGGAGCGGACTTCTTACCGGCACAACACCGGACCTGACCGGGGAACCACTTGGGATTTACCCGGAGGAGCTGGCTCCGGCAGCTGGAGAGAGGGAAGTCACGCTACTGCCCCCGCAACCCGACTCCGGATACGCGGATGAAAATGGATGGATGGACGGACAAATAACAGATTTACACGTAAGTAGTCTCGGTGAGACAGATAATAGCAATCCAAATGCTTTTTATGTGTGATCTGACAATTGATCAACCATTGCTTGAAAATTAAATACAGCTTAGCCGGTTAATTGCTGTGATCATAAAACACGGAAACGGCAGCACGCAGAACTCACAAGGCAACGTTTTACATGATGTTTACTTGCTGCTATGAGTAATAAGACAGAAAAAGCCACGTCAAAATAAGTTTAGGAAGCCCACTAAGAATCATAATAAAAGCATTTAAAATAAATACCATACACAGTTGAGGAAATGTTGGTTTAAGTACCTGATATGAAGCGGTCGCTGTATAAGCGAAAACCTTTACTCTCGGGGTCCCACAGTTTCATTTTAGCTCGGTCACTAGTGCGTTTTATTACAATGATCCAACGTTTGCGGCGCTCCGGATCTTGGGGAATCCTGTAGATGGCTCATTCCTTATGTCGTCCGTGTCTGTTCTGCATCCTGGGGCACAACAGGAATCTACCATATTTCCTGTTTAATTGAGTTTTCTGACAATAACAAATAGTCCAGCTGCCGGCTTCTGCCTGCCAATATGGCGCCGTTTCGATTTGAACTGTTGCATGCCGGGAAACGTGACGTCAACTCCCGGAGCTCTATACACCCACAGTCACACACATATTGAGGACATCTGTACACACTGGAACAGAATGCTAATAAACAGCTTGAACTGTACCAATGGAGTTGGTTCTGAGAGTTCTTCCTGACCGAGGAAGACTCAGTTGAAGCAAATCAGAAATCAGTGCAGTAAATTTTACAACATGTCTGGATTAAAATCCCACATATTGGAGGCAAACTGGGATTCATTTTCCTGTTCCAAAACAAACTGACAGTTGGATCAACCTAACAACTAAAAGACAACATCTCTAAAGTTGAGCTACAGACCACTCCTTATGGTAAATTAAACCTGAAATGGCAAGAAAATAAATAATTTAAATATATACAACCATAAAGGTGATGTGAGGCACTCTTACCCCAGCCCCAGAGCCAGGATGTGTGATAGCAGCAGCGAGGGGATGAACACTTTGAGGAACTCAGCAGAGAAGATGCCTCCTTTCTTCATGGCGCCGGTCTTCCTCATGCTGAGCGTTACGGAGCGTCGAGGGTGACGGAAATGGAACTCCCTGCAAAAACATCACACACGTTTTTATGTGCACTCTGATTAGACATCTGTGCTTTCGAAGCAGCTTTCCTCTGGTTTATTTAACACTCAGAAAAGCGGTCTGTCCAGTTGTGTTTATGTGACTGACTAGTTAAGAGCCTAACAGTGTTTAAACTAATGTCTGAATGTTTCAGAAATAACATTAAACTCTTTATGATCTTCTCTTTAAATATCTCAACATTTTTGTAATACTCTATGTTGATTTGAATATTATGAAAGTAATTTAGGTAACGAGCTGCCACTGCTGGAATAAATCTACTTCCTAAGAGGTGAACTCTGGTTACGTTACGTTATGATGAAATAATCAGAAACCCTCAGCTGAAGGACTTTAAGCGCAGTTATAGTCTAATATATATTTTAAAGGAGGACAAAACACTTGAACAAAGTGAACATAGATCCTGAGATCCAGCACTCTGAAGTGTGAAATCATTTTTGTATTTGAGGCCGACACCTGGAGTCTTCAGCTTTAATCGGACTGTTTCACCTGTGAGTTTGAACGCCTCTGTCGCTTAATGATCGACCACTTTCTCTGCACAAACACGAACACACACACACACACCCACCCCGGACACAGAGACGGTTTGTTTACCGAGCAGAGACTTACTTAGGGGGAATGTTTTCTGGTCGACTGGACCAGTCAGCAACCCAGTCTGCATCCTTCATCAGGATGTCCATGTCCCTCTCCTTGTCCAAGATGTCCTCTTCTGACTGAACAAACAGATGTTATTTAGGAAAGGCACAACGAGGTGTTCGTTTATTACATGTTTGTGAGGTGGGACAGAAAAACATACAAATATCAGATCTGCATCCGATCCTAAAGGTGAAAACAAAAGGTGTGTGAACAAATGTTACATATAAATTTAAAAAAATACAAATCTACTCTTGACGATGCAGCAGTCTCCATGGAAACTACAGGCAGCAGTTGTCATTTGCATGTTCACACACAGCAACTGAGGTCAGGTTGCCACAGCAACAGACTGATGGTAAGGCTCTTACCTGGCTGTCTCTTCTGCCGGTCATGTCCACATCAAAGATGATCTGTCCTGCATCCTGAGGGGAGTGGGGTCGGGGGGGGCTGTGGAGTCAAACCAGAGTCTCCGTCAGCTAAAACAGAATAACTCCAGGGACTACAAAGCATTATTTACACAAGTGAAAGGTGTCACTTCTGGGCTTGGGTGGATGGATTAAAATCCTACAGGGAAAAAGAATAAATCCCTAGTAGGAGGACAGCCACGCTGTGACAGAAATGGTTTTAGGACACATCCTTTGGTTTCAGTGTTAAAAGCTCTAAAAGAACTAAAAAGCTCATTTTTAAGCCAGCATCTCACCGGGCTGCGACTGTTCAGACGTGTTTTGTCAGGGTTCTCTGCTTTTGTCAGATATTTTTTCTCCTGAAATTGTCCCAACTTCATCTTAGATTCTTGATTAATAGAGAAGTGGGAGAGCAAGCTAACCGAGACAAACTAACTGGGACAAAACATACGATAATGTGTGTTTGGTCTGCTGCAACCATCCTTGGTAATAAAACTCAGATTGCTGCAAAGCCTGATTAGTCACCTTGAGGGAAGCTTAGATAGCATCCCTCACAGAAAGGAAAACAACATCATCATTAAAACATGAATAAAATAGAAGAAAACACTAATAAAAACAAAAAAGATCATAAAACAAATGAAACCTTCAGTCTGAAGTGGAACCTGTAAGGACCACTCATCTGTGGAATGAGAAACAGCTAAATGTGTGTCGCACAGAAAAAAAAAGTCCCAAAATCCCCGACAATATTATCCTCTCAGTGTTTACTAGAGGTGTGAGTCCCCACTGACTCGCATCTTCAAGATTAACGATACGGTGAAACCCTGCTGATGATTTTTAATAATTTGACAATGAATTTACAAGCAGCATCTGGTTTTTAAACATCGTCACAATTTTCCCCTCTTTCTCGTTGAAGGACATATTTGATCCTCTATTGTTTCTGATTAATAAATATGTTCAAGATGAAAAGACAATGCACTTCATCAGTGATATTTACATATTATACATATTTTATTGTGACAATACTCTGTTCAAATAATCTGAAAAAAGAACCATCAATGTGACTTTCTGCAAAAAGCAAAACATTTTCATCCATGAGGTTCAGACAGTCACTCTGCTCAGGAAAGTATACCAGCAGAATCAGAGAACTATTAGAAATCATCATTTAATTATTAGAATTATAACGAAAAGCTGCTAGCTTGAAAATATTTATAAATACTGTAATGATCCATAAGGGTGACTGTTACTGTTCCTTTAAGAGAAAAGTGAACGCTGGAGAAGCAGGGAGATGTGAGTTTACCTCAACTGTTTATTGGACTTCTCTGAACCACCGTTGAGGGCAAAACGTCATTCTGTCTGAATGTCTTGAATTGTTTTAAAAGTGCCAGAAAAGTACAAGTGACACTCAAAATAATCTGAATGTGGTGCAAAATTTCCTTTGTTCAGTAATTCTACTTAGAATATTAAACTAATATATGAGACAGACTCATTCCATGCAAAGCCAGATATTCCAGCCTTTATTTGTTATAAATGTGATTATTAAGGCTTACAGCTGATGAAAACCCCACATTCAAAATCTCAACTAGAATATTGTGAAAAGTGTCACACTCTAATCAGCTAATGAATCTCAACATCTGCAAAGGGTTCCTGAGTCTTTAGATGGTCTCTCAGTCTACGATGAATCACTGAAATAAATGAACTTTTGCTCCATATTCTAATTTTCAGAGTTTCCCCTGTGAGATGTTGTTTTTGTTCCAGCTGGTTGAGTCGATGCTGATGACATCAGACTAACAAACAAACTCAGGTGACTCCGACAGCTAACCCTGATAAGGTCTGCTCTATCTCAACTTTGAGGATGGGGGAGTGCATGATGTGGCCACAGGAAGATGAAAGGTCAGGTTTTCTCCTTGAACATTTAAAAAATACAAACCAGATGTGGGTGAATCAGGGGGAATCTGCTTATATCTGGAAGCAAAAATCAAACCACCAGAAATCTTTCTTCCTTGTGTTTATTCTAACAGCACCTGTCACAGGATGAGTTGCTGCGGCTCGACTCATGTTGGGCGTCCAACAGTATCTTCTCCATGTCTCCGTTGTGGATTGATGATGAGGAGGGGACATGCTCCAGTCCCCCTACTAGGGCCTCCTCTTCCTCCACCTGAGGGAGAGGCAGCGGAAGCTCCTGGACCTGAACTCTGTTCATCTCCAGCTCCACCCAGGACCCTGCAAGACACAAGAACAATCCTTTTATCCATGCTCACATTTCTTCCAGGATCTTTTTCATATAAAGATTAGGTTTTTCTTCACAGACAGAAAAATATAAAAGAATTACGCTCACTGGCCACTTTATTGGGTACACTTGTCCAATTGCTCATTAACGCAAATTACTTATAAGCCAATCACATGGTGGCAACTGAATGCATTTAGGCATGTTGGCATGGTCAAGATGTCTGCTACAGTTCAAACTGAGCAGCGGAATAGGGAAGAAAAGTGATTTAAGTGACTTTGAAAGTGGCATGGTTGTTGGTGCCCGACGGGCTGGTCTGAGTATTTCACAAACTGCTGATCTTCTGGGATAGTCACACACAACCATCTCTAGGGTTTACAGAGAATGGTCTGAATAAGGGAAAACCTCAAGGGAGAGCAGTTCTGTGGGTGAAAATGCCTCATTAATGCTAGGGCCATTAATGGCCAGACTGGTATGAGCTGATAGAAAATCAACAGTAACTAGAATAACCACTCTTTACAAACAAGGTATGAAGAAGAGCTTCTCTGAACACAAACGTTTAACCTTGAGGCAGATGGGTTACAGCAGCAGAAGACCACACCAGGTGCCACTTCTGTTGGCTAAAACAGGGAACTGAGGCTACAATTCATACAGGCTCACCAAAATTGGACAATTGAAGAATGGAAAAATGTTGCCTGGTCTGATGAGTCTTGATTTCTTCTGCAACACCGGATGATAGGGTCAGACTTTGACACCAACAACATGAAAGCATGGATCCATCCTGCCTTGTATCAACGGGTCAGGCTGCTGGTGGTGGTGTAATGGTGTGGGGGACATTTTCTTGGCACACTTTGGCCCCTTTAGTACTAACTGATCATTGCTGCAACGCCAGAGTCTACCTGAGTATTGTTGCTGACCATGTCCATCCCTTTATGACCACAGGGTACCCATCTTCTGATGGCTATTTCCAGTAGGACAATGCATCATGTCATAAAGCTCCAATCATCTCAAGCTGATTTCTTGAACATGACAATGAGTTCACTGTACTCAAACTGCCTCCCCAGTTACCAGATCTCAATCCAATAGGGCACCTTTGGGATGTGGTGGAACGGGAGATTTGCATCATGGATTTGCAGCTAACAAGTCTGCAGCAACTGCGTGATGCCATCATGTCACTATGGACCAAAATCTGAGGAATGTTTCCAGTACCTTGTTGAATCTATGCCACGAAGGATTAAGGCAGTTCTGAAGGCAAAATGAGGTCCAGCCCGGTACTAGCTAGGTGTACCCAATAAAGTGAATGTATTTTCCAAAGCAGTTGTGAAACAGCAAATGTTTAACTTGTGACTGATCAGCTGTTTGCTCTTCTGGAAACATCCTAAATAAACTAAATGTCAACCTAATATTGTCCTTCTACACAAGAACAAACCCCAGATCTTGGCTCAGAGATTTGAATCACCATCAAATGTATCACATAAATGCCACTGACTCTTGGTAGCCTTACCTCCAACACTTTAACTACTTCATTTATTTGTTAGGGCCCGGTCACACATGACCCAGAGGCTGGACTGGAGGTTTCCTACTCTTGGTTTAAAAAGGCCTTTGTGGTGTCGCTCTGCTGGTTAAAAAGCTTAAAGTCAAAGTTTCAAACCAAAGTTGGAACATCTAGCCTGGCCTGTCAGACTCGTCCTCTGTTTAATTCTACACAGAATTAAACAGAGGATGAGTCTGGCAGGATAGGCTATGGAAAATCATGAATGCAGGTAAAATATTAACCCTCTGATGCATGAATTATGAAATCTTCAACCAAGATTTTTTAAACAATTTTTTTCATTCATCTTTAGGTGTGAATGAAACAAATTTCAACAAATATTTTTTGTAACATTTTGTTAATTTACAAATAATTTATTACATGTCCATCTCAGTGGACAGCGTGCATTCTGAACATGAAATATGTTGGCTTGACTTACTGAAGTCGAAATGGAGGGGCTCAAATGCAACAAAGTCTTCAACAGCTGTGCTTAGTAGCAAAAATAAAGAAATAACAATTTTGAGTACCTGTCCACTGTAGTGACCATTATGCACCAAAGGGTTAAGATCAACTTAAACATGAGAAACAGGTCAAATAAAACTCAACAGCATGCCCAAGATGACTAAGTTAAAGTAAAAATTTATTTTACATCAAAATGTAAAAAGATGAGGCATTCCTTACTAAATAAAGTCCAACCGTTGAGAAAAATGTAAACTAAACTTTTGGAAAACAAAATAACCTACTGAAAGTGCACCTTGTTGTCATGAACCCCACTGTGTTTGTTGTGGAGTTTTCAATGAGTAAAGTAGAAAATATCATTTAGACATTTTACTTTTTTTTATTTTGAGTGAAATTTTATTACCACAACAGCGGAACTGACTAAAATTCCTTTAGATCTGTACAAATAGGTCTCAAACATCCACACATACCTGAAAAATGTGTTGTTTTTTTTAACTTATTTAAGCATTTTTGTTTGTTTGTTTAGTTTTGAAATTAAAGTTGACACAAAGTAAAAAAAAAGTGCCTTTTGAACAAGTGGATCTAGTTTGATGTTGCAAAAATATTAAACCCAAATATTTCACGTCTTCAAACATTCCTTAGTTGTACCACAGCTGGAGACGAGTGTCTGTGTTCTGATTACAGATAAGGACTTTAATCTGTTCCAATAAACAAACTCATATCCTGTTCAGGGACAAATTTCCAATACAAATCTGGGCATTTCCTATATTCATCACTAAAACTTAATCATGGAAGAGGATGTTGATGTGAAGTGTGCTCGTTTCTTTTCCACGCCATTACAGAGAAGACCAGGTTGTGTTTCTGTTAAATAAAAAGTATCCGCCCCGTTATTATGTCCCGGTTTAGCCAATTATGATCCTGTCACCGTAGTTATAATTTCTGACAGTAATAGGATTTACAGAGTGTCCATTATACACACTACATGAGGAGGCCAGAGGGGAGTGAGACAGACAGTTATTTCCTGGATCTGAGCTGGAATGAGGCAACAAGTCAGTCAGAGTAAACTTCTATTTATTGCTGTGTGATGAGGTGGCAGTAAACGCTCATCTGAGTGTGTGCTGTGTTTGGAAACCGTGGCTGGGAAATGTAACGCTCCCCGGATTGTACGTGAGCTCCAGCATGGACCGTCTGCTGGAGGCACAGCCTGCCAGAGCTGCATAACAAATACGGAGGAGGAGCAGGTTAGCTTCAGGATGGGGTGGGGGTTCAGACCTCACCCTATATCAAAACACATCTCCTTAAAAATAAACAATGAGGAGGATCTCTAAGCAGGACACAAATAAATATGATGATGTTCAGACGAAGAGGCCAGTAATGGAGATGCCCTCCATCCCCGATCGGGCACAAACTCACTCATCCTGTAGATTACACAGCATATTGCAGGCCATTGTCCTCACTCCGTGGACTAAAACCACGTTACCATGGCAGCAAGGCTTCCGAACACTCTAGCCAAAGAGACCACCACGTCAACTGTTGGGACGAGTTTATAACAGAGATGTGAGGTGACCTGTGGCAGAAACTGGACTAAAGCTATCCCAGTGCATTATATCAGGGGTTCCCCACCACAGTACCATGAGCCAGCACTGGTTGGTACATTATTTGAAACAATAAAACTACAAAAATACGCACAGAAGACCTGGGATAACAGCATATAATAAAAAAAAATTCTGATCATCTATCATCTTTCATGCCAGAGTTCTTAACTACTAGCATCTTACGTTGAGAATAAGGGTGTGTATTGGCAAAAATCTGGCAATAAGATAAATCTCACAATACAACGTAAATCAGGTGTCACCAACTCCAGTCCTCGAGGGCCACCATCCTGCTAGTTTTCTGTGTTTCCTGCTCTACCACACCTGGGTGGAGTCATTTAATCCTCTCCTTAACTTTGCACAGGCCTGTTAATTACTCATTCATTTCCATCAGATGTGTAATGAGGTGTCACCCCGGCTTTACACTGGAGCCGTCAGCAGCGCGAGTCGGCCGCGTCTCAGGAGCAGCATGTCGCGGCCTTTACGCGCCGGTTCTATTTTCTACGCGCGACGCCTCTGAAACGGGTCAAGTTCGACATTTTTGGGGAAGGAAAGACAGGAAATCAGACGCCAAAATGGAGAGGAGCTCCCGAGATTTTCAGAATAAAGAACGTACTGCCTTCCGGTTGCTTTACTTTAAAAAAGGTTACTAACTGTGCGGCCCCGTGAGAAGTTATCACCTAGCTAGCGGTCTCCTTTGTTTTTCAGGTCCGTATTTGCGATTATAAAACGGACAGAACATACAACACAAACATTTTGGGGCCATGTTGTAGTTTTCTCCTGCTTGTTGTTGTGTTTACTGACGAAGTCACTCTGACTTCGTGCTCGGTCGGTGACAGCTGCTCCCCTGCTGCTTCGCATCTCGTGGGAAGGGCCAAGCAGCAGCTTGCGCGAGCAAGACGTGCTGCTGCAGTAACGTACTGCTGACAGCTCCTGTGGAAACCCGGGGTCAGGCCGAGTCGGACTGGGGGGCAGACAGAGCCACTTTGATGTTGGTTTATGAGGGTATGATCAGGTCGGCCTTAGATTATGGGGGTTTCCTGTATGGTTTGGCTGCGCCTTCCACCCTGAAGCAGCTGGATGTGTTGCAGGCAGCGGCTATGGGGGTGTGTACTGGGGCGTTTTGGTCGTCCCCGGTGGCAGCCCTCCTTGTTGAAGCTGTTGGTGTCTATGACAGAGTGTAGCCAGGTTTGGCTGTAGGCATAGTGTTGCTGTGGCAGCAATACGCCGCGAGGCGTCCAGTCTGCCTTACCCAAAGAACAAGAATCAGGTGTGTAGAAACAGCTAACGTGTGCAGGATGTTAGCCCTCAAGGACCGGAGTTGGTGACTCAAGGTGTAGATGGCATTGCGTCATTAAAAGACAGTATTTGTAATTTTTAAAACTGAGTTTAACTGGAAAACCCAGGCAAGACTCTTCCAAGACACATCCAGAGTTATCACAAGATTTCATTGTTCCATCAAAATAAGCTGGTAAAGACTACTGCCACCTAGTCGCCGGAGTTTAAATTGCACCACATAAAATTATTAGAGCATATTTTATTTGTTTATTTATTTATTTGGGACAGTGCACAGTGTTTGCTTGTAAATTCTCCCAAAAAATTATAATAATAAATCAATGCACTGCATTCAAATATTGATCCAGTACATCAAATATGGTGATTTTCAGTGTATCGATATAAGTGATTAAGTCATTGCCGTGAATTCAATGCCTTTCAGCGAGTCTCAAATAAAAATGTGGGCGTCTTATTACTGTAAAAAAATATATCATTAATGTAAAAAAGAAACTCCTAATCACAAGTTATGCTCACACCTGGAATCATACCCAGGCTTTTCACATGAGAGTCAGACATCTTACTAGGTGAGCTAAAGCACCAGTGACATTGAATTTATCTATAACGTTTATATCGTTGATGACAGCTGAAACAACGTCAATCCAAAGAACAGTTCGGAGCGAAAATGGCTATTTTGTTGCTAATTTGCAGGAAATATCTAGAAGAAAGTTCTACAAAAAGTAGCTAAGGGTCCTCTGAAATGTAGCTAGGATTGTCACTAGGCGTTAGGAACAGCGACAAAGTCGCTGAGTTGGCACTGCCTCTCTCTCTGCTGCTAAAGCTACGGATAGCAAATGCTACGGGCTATGCCTGAGTGTGAACGCGTATGAAGCAGCCTGCTCGACCCGAGCATCTCTCTTTTTCTGTGATTTTACAGAAAAACAGGCAATCAAAGTAAAAATGCCAGGGCTCATTCGACAGGACCAGGGCATTGCAGGAGAATGTATGAAGAAGAAATTTATTATTTCTATACATGCTTTGACTGTCAAACTTCCTTACAGTCCCTTTAAGCCAGAAAAGATCTACAGACAGGTCTTGTCTAAAACCATATGGAAATACATAACACTTGTTGCTTTGTATTATGTAAGAGAAGATGTAGGCACAGACTGAGCATAATGGGCATCCATGGCCAATAATTTGGTTATTAGACATTTTAAAGTTTTTTTTAATCCAGTATAAACATCAATATTTCCTGTCATCAGATTTGACATGGAGAAATAAACTTTCATGTACTCTGGAACAGCTGAGAAATGTGATACTTCCCCCATATTACTCATGTCCAAAACTTCTGTCCCCTTGTCGTTGTGTCCATAAATAGCATGCCAAGCCCCCCCCCCGTTGTTAAACCAACCAGGTCTGTGGCCGTGCAATCTTAATAAACACCCCTTTGTTTATATAGTCATACAAGCCCAGAATTGCGTATGACACGTCATTGCAAAAGGTCATCCGAAACACGATGAAAACCTGATTTTGTCCAACTTTGAAAAAGCATAATCATATTTGCGTATGTTAACATGAACTATATTGAAATATAACAGCTTTAATATGTTTACACGTTTTAGAGCGTTTTGTGGATTAGAATGACTGTAATACAAACATTTTCGTAAATTATCAAAATTATTATGCGCCGATTTAATCAAATTGGACATCTTCCATCGAGCCTTGTTGACAAGTCTAAAGCACACCCACAGCCTCTGTATTGATCGCTGATTGGCTCCGTTGCCCGTCATTCAAGCTTCCTGAAAGATTATTGGTTCAGCTACTGTCAATAAACACACGGAACACAACGTTCTAGTTCCTCCCCCTTCAGTAAGAACCGAACTCGCGGAGAAAAATACATACTTGCCGAATAAACAACTCTTATTGTTGAAATTATAACAGCAGACGACTTTCGGATACGAGTAAAATTCATCAAGACGCTTCAGAAGAAAAGAGGCACGCACACATGCACAAAGCGTCAGTGTGTTCTGAAGCTCTAAGCTCAGTAGCATTTAGCTTACCGTTAAGCCCCGAGTCTCCGTTGCTTTCTGTGGAAGTAACGTTAGCAGCGTCGGACATTGTTGTGGCTGGCAAACAGGGTGGGTTGCATTAAGGGCTCAAGTCGATGCAAAACGACCACTGCTATCTCTACACATTCAGGCGTGCTTTGATACAACAGCGCCGACTTGTCACCAGCTCGGTGCCTCAGAAAATAGCCAACTGTCCTGGCTGAAGCACCGCTGAAGGGATTTGTTTTCGTCGGTTAGCTGACATAGGAGCAGCAAGCACGAGCCAATCACAGCTCCTCAGAGGCGGAGTGCTCACTGACGTATCACCAGTGACAAGTGTGGCAGGTTGTTGTAATATATAATCAAATTATTTCGTTCTTATTTCTTTGATATTTGCCTATAAATTAATTGTGAAATATCAATAAAATACATACTTAAAGTAAAACTGAGATTAGAGTAGGATCAAATGAATTTGATGAATTAAGATTCCTCCTTGAACTTATTTAAAGAGATTTGCAACTTTCTCATATTTTTAAATCATCAATTATTGAGCCAGTATGTGCTAAAACGACCCTTTACATGTTTTCTTAAAGGCCACCCAGCCCCCATCACCCACTGTGGCCAGAATATTCCACTTGCAACTTCAAACTGGCAACCCTGCCAGTTTGAAGTTGCAATTTTTACGAAGTCCCAACAGAAGGCTGTAAAAATTGAGCTAACATGCATGGTGCTGCAGTCTGGTTCCAGCAAGTTTCCTACATGTTTTAGATCATGAGCACCGCTGAATTGTTTAGTTTCATGATTAATTTTGTAGACACTAGGACAGCTGGGGAGACATTTCAGCTGTTAAAGTACTCACTCCTGGTCCTTGAGAGCCAGTATCTAGCATGTTTTCCTCGTTTCCATAGGCGTCATTTTAACAGGGGACGCCAGGGACATGTCCCCGGCAAAATTTGTGATTGGCAGCTGTGTCCCCCCCCCCCCCCCACTTTCAAAAAAGCCTGCTGATGAGGATTTTTGTTTTACCAGCTCAGATCTTATACCAGGGGTCGGCAACCTGTTCCCATCAAAGAGCCATTATTACCCATTTCCCACGGTAAAGAAAACACCGCAGCAGCCACAGCGTTGTGGGCGGGGCCTACCCTCAGACAGCAGAGCGCTGCTCACAACAGGTGACAGCAGCCGGGGGCATCGCACCCGTGGGGGATTCAACACCCACACTTTTCCAGCTGTTTTGCTCACCTCCACGCCAATCTGGTTTCTTTACGTCGCACACTCACTCTGTTTGCCTCATCTCCTTCTTCACCTCCCGCTTCTAACAGCCGATGTCGGGTTTCCAGGAGAGCAGGAGAGGGAGGGACGGAAGAGCTCGACTGAATTCATAATTTTACATCTTGACATTAGCTGTACAAAGTCTGAGTTTGATAAAGTGAAGAACAACAATTTGCAGAGGTTTATAACAGGCGTGGCGTCAGGTTTTCATTTTTGGGTGGGCCACGGTAATTTTGGACGAACCTTAATAAGCAGTGACTTAGTGAAGCAGGCAGGTCGCGCTAGAAATTTTAGTTTAAAAAGACGTCATAAATGTGTTCCCCCGTCCTTTTTATTTATAAAATGTGAAGTAAAAGAGAGGGTGCTCGCTGCAGAACTACAAAGGCGGAGCTGCACCATAAGGTGGAGCTGCACCAGAGTCAACCCCGCCCATTCTCGCAAACTCAGCCTAGCCCACTGACTTCCGTTTTTGTTTTCAACTTTATCGCAAACTGACCTGACCCACATGAATTACGGCTGTTACTAGTTTACAGTCGTTAATGCTATGTTCTGTGCTCCAATTAAACAAGATAAATATAACTTGCTACATGACAAAGTCTGAATATATCCCGAAATAAAAAGGTTTCTCGTAGCGAATATCTGCCCACAGCCGCTCTAACAAAAGTCCTGTACAATAGCATGTACCCTCTCCCTGTGGGTTCTGGTAGTCCAGTGGCAAGATCGTCTGATTTACATTTTGCTTTCCCCTCAGCTGATGCTGGTTCGATTCTCGGTGGGGTCGGCAACAATCTATTCAGCCAGCTGAAACATTTAATTTGTTCATATTTTAGTTGTAATGTTCATTTTCAGCAAAATATTTATGTCTCTACAAGTTCTTTGAATTTGGTCGTTCCTAAACAGCATTTTAGTTGAAACTCTGCTCACAGATGGACTCACACTGGCTAAATAAACGAATGAATAAATAAAAAAAACACATTAGTCATTATATGTTAAACGGCATACCAATAAATCGTTGTAAACATAGTACTGGCAAGTGTAGCTAGAAATGAGGAAAAGAGATTATAGAATATTTCCACTGCTGGGAGGCGAACCTGCGCAAAACTGCATGTCAACCTGACAGAAATCACCACTACACAACCACATCTGATAAAAACTAAGTGGCGTTACATTTTATCATGTTATTTGGTGTGTCTTTGTAGATGGGATGTATGATTTTTCTGGCGGTGTCTCAGTAGAAGTCATTTCAGAAATAATTTGTCAGAAAATTCACAGAATATCCAGATTTGAGAACCAAGACCAGACCCGCTTTGGGGGAGGAGACCAAATTGAAGCTGAGATGGGAAGAAAATGCATGAATGAGGCCAAAAATGGCTTTGGCGTGTTTCTTATGAGGAAATGACAATATAACATGATTAAAAGTTCCAAAAGTTAGATTTTTAATTATATGGAACCTTTACAAAAACTTTTCAATTCACTTCTCAACTCCCTCCTCAATCTTGCATTTTTTAGCTATAACACCCTCTTTGGTTCCAGAATGCTATAAAGTCTGACAACTGGAAGGAATTGGACTGACTCCGATAGAATGGGCGGGGCTGATTCTGGAATGGGCGGGGCTGACTCTGGTGCAGCTCCACCTTCTGGTGCAGCTCCACCTTTGTGGTTCTGCAGCGAGCACCACTTGAAGTAAAAACTCACAATTTAATTTTCATTCATTTGTCATTAATATGTAGTCTACAAACATGCGTTAAGTGGACCATCTTCCAATAAAAGCAAAGCATCCCCACCTCTCCAAATGCGTAAAATGTGCATCAGCCGCTAGTTAGGCGCTGCGCGCACCATCAGCTGATCAGCCCAGACAATATCAGAGCAAATAGAGAAAGAATAGATGATGATTCTGTCTGGACGTGGATGGAGATTACATTTTACAGCAGCCTGATCATCATTTAAAAACGTAAACCATCACCTGGCTTCTAGTCCACGCTATCAGCATTATTTTAATTGGTGTGTGTGTGTGTGTGCGTGTGTGTGTGTGTGTGTGTGTGTGTGTGTGTGTGTGTGTGTGTGTGTGTGTGTGTGTGTGTGTGTGTGTGTGTGTGTTTTCCACTTCAAACACTGGTCAAACCAACCAGACCAGCGTGTCCAGTAACACATTAATGTTACAATTAAACTTGATTAACCCCAGAGCCATGCACACTGCACTGACTGTCAATGAGGGGGAAACGATTTAATCGGATCCTTTTCTCTTCAACATGGTTTAATGTAGTTTCATTCAGTACAAACTTTAGTTACACCAATCTAACGAGACAGAGCCTGGATTTGTATTCTGAACAGTTTAAACATGTTTAAAACGGAGACATGCGTGACGCGTCTAAAATTCGCACCTGCTCCGCTATTATGGAAATTACACTAACAAGATGAATAACCTCCTCCTTGAACCGTCACCTTATCGTGGTGGAGGAGTTTGAGTGCCCTAATGATCCTAGGAGCTATGTTGTCTGGGGCACTTAGTGCCCCTGGTAGGGTCTCCCATGGCAAATTGGTCTTAGGTGAAGGGTGAGACAAAGAACGGTTCGAAGGATCTTTCATGGCGGTTAAAACGAAGAGTCGGAGTACCCGGCCCGGAGGGTTACCGGGGTCCCACCCTGGAGCCAGGCCTGGGGTTGGGGCCCGTGAGCGAGCGCCTGGTGGCCGGGCTTTCGCCCATGGGGCCCGGCCGGGCCCAGCCCGAACCGGATACATGGGCTCGTCCAACTGTGGACCCACCACCCGCAGGAGGAACATGAAGGGTCCGGTGCAATGCGAATCGGGTGGCAGACCAAGGCGGGAGCCTTGGCGGTCCAATCCCCGGACAAGAAAACTAGTTTTTGGGACATGGAACGTCACCTCGCTGGCGGGGAAGGAGCCGGAGCTTGTGGCAGAGGTTGAGCGGTACCGGCTAGATATAGTCGGACTCACCTCGACACATTGCATTGGCTCTGGAACCCGAGACCTGGAGAGGGGTTGGACACTCTACTTTGCTGGAGTTGCTCCGGGTGAGAGGCGGAGGGCTGGGGTTGGCTTTTTGTTAGCCCCGAGACTCTCTGCCTGTGTGTTGGGGTTTACCCCGGGGGACAAGAGGGTAGCTTCCTTGCGCCTTCGGGTCGGGGAACGGGTCCTGACTGTTGTTTGTGCTTATGGGCCAAATATCAGTTCAGAGTACCCACCCTTTTTGGAGTCCCTGGGACGAGTGCTAGATAGTGCTCCATCAGGGGACTCCATTGTCCTGCTGGGGGACTTCAATGCTCACGTGGGCAATGACAGCTTGACCTGGAGGGGTGTGATTGGGAGGAACGGCCCACCTAATCTGAACTCGAGCGGTGTTTTGTTATTGGACTTCTGTGCAAGCCGCAGTTTGGCCATAACGAACACCATGTTCGAACATAAGGATGCCCACCGGTACACTTGGTACCAGGGCAGCCTAGGTCACAGGTCGATGATAGATTTTGTAGTCGTATCATCTGACCTGCGGCCGTATGTTTTGGACACCCGAGTGAAGAGAGGGGCGGAGCTGTCAACTGATCACCACCTGGTGGTGAGTTGGATCAGATGGCAAGGGAACATGCCGCGTAGACCTGGCAGACCCAAACGCATAGTGAGGGTCTGCTGGGAACGCCTGGCAGAAGAACCTGTCAAGACGGTCTTCAACTCCCACCTCCGGCAGAGCTTTGACCACGTCCCGAGAGCAGTGGGGGACATTGAGTCCGAGTGGGCCTTGTTCCACTCTGCGATTGTCGAGGCGGCTGTTGCTAGCTGTGGTCGTAAGGTGGCCGGTGCCAGTCGTGGTGGCAACCCCCGTACCCGCTGGTGGACACCAGAGGTTCGGGGAGCCGTCAGGCTGAAGAAGGAGGCCTACAGGGCGTGGCTGGTCTGTGGGTCTCCGGAGGCAGCAGACAGGTACCGGATAGCCAAGCGGGGTGCAGCAGTGGCAGTTGCCGAGGCAAAATCTCGGGTGTGGGAGGAGTTTGGTG